AGAGTAAGTTCCAGGACATCCAGGGCTACACAGAGAAAGCTTGCCTCAGAAAGAAAAAAACAAAAACAAAACAAAACAGACCAAAAACAAAGTAAAATAAAATAACTGGCTGGAAAACTTGATTAATATGAACTAGTCCATTTACTGTAAAGTTGGTGAACTTTTAGTAAATGCAGGCTTTGAATGCTTCCTCACCTAGACTCACCAAGAACCATACGAATGACGCTGATGAGGTTGCCTGTGTCACTGTTAGCCTGGGAGGGGAGAAGCCTCTACCTAATCCTTCCTGTCAGCATAGATCCAAAATGCAAGCACAGTCGCTTTTCTACTGGTTAATTCAGGTCCAGGGCTTGGGGGACACCAGCATTAGTCAATCCTGCGCATCACCAGAGTCCTGGGGACACAACACAGTGAGTGTAGGGACACGGGGCACCAAGGCGTGGACGCAGTCATGGGGACACAGTCATGGGGACTTTCCAACCCAGGGGCCCACAGTGCACAGAGCTGTGCCCCACAGGGATCACTACTCTTTCAGCCCAGCGGAACTTGCCAAGCAGGGGCTGATTTCCCTAAGTCGTCCTGGCTAGTGACAGAGGGCAGCTCAGTGCTGCTGGCTTCCCCAGGACTCGGTGCCTGAATCTGGTCCCAGTCAGAAGGGGGGACAGTAAGTCACAGCCTCCTCACAGATGCAAAGGGCAGGGAGAGAAGTGGAGTCACAGATAAAGAGAGAGAACACATAGAAGACAGGCAGGCAGGCAGGCAGGCGGACGAACGGACAGACAGGCAGGTGGCAGGCATAAAGCACCACGTAAACCTGACGTGACTGTGCACAGATACAATCCCAGCATTTGGGAGCAGCAGTGTCTTGAGTTCAAGGCCATTTTGAGATACACAGTTCCATACCAGCCTGGCATACTAGAAACCCTGCCTCAAAAAAAAAAAAAAAAGTCAATTATTTTTTAGTACACTCCAACTTTTTTTAAAAAAACTCGAGTAGGTACGTAAGTGCACATAGAACAAGCCATATCACAGAGCTGGGCATAAGAGGGTGTGAAACACTTTGATTTGCCTGACTGTGCTTCCCTACATGGGAATGACCCAAGCACAAAAACACTCATTAAAAATAAGAACTGTACTTGAAGTCAAAATGTTATTGCTGCCATCCTGACCAAACACTGTGAAACAGTAAAATTGTATCGCATTAAGAGCCAAGATTTCCAGCTTAAATTAAAAAGAAAAAAGCTACTGTAAAGCCATAGGTAGAAAGACCACCACAGACGATAACTAACGTATCTTAACTAAGGGTTGGCTGGCTCCGGCAATCAAAGACTGGGAACAATAACCAGCCTGAGCCCAAAGAGAGCCTCTGCCAGACTCCTTGGAGAGACAGGTGGCTCTAGATCCAGAGACAAGACATCCAAGCCGGAAACATTGTCATATCACACAGCAAAACACAAAGACCACAGGAGTCTAGACGAAAAGACCCAGGAGGCAACTTGCAGCCTTTAGGAAGGCTGCTTTGTGCTGCACTGACTGACAAAGCCAAGTCATAAAATGTGTGCGCGTGAGAGAATACTCAAAGCGGCAGTCTTCAGAGACTGCGAAGCAACCAACTCATTATTCTACAAACAGTAAACAAACGAACAAAGCATTTACCCTGCCTTTGCTCCAGCAAAGCACGCCAGCTCACTCCTCTGATGTCTTTCCAGCACAGGAACCCTAAGTGATAAAGACAAGGCTCGGGTGCTGGAGGAGCCCAGAACAGGCAACCTTCACCGAAAGCTGGGCCGAAGCCTCAGTAACCCACATAGATCTTGCTCTAGGTGCCCAGGCCTCGGCTGCTCCACACATCAGAACAGAGGCAGGGGAGTGACTGCCTCTTCTCCTGGAAGGAATCCGTTCCCCTGGAGCAGTTACCCTCCCTCAGCAATCCAAAGCGGGCTCTAGTCAGCCCTGTGAGTACAAGAAACACACACATCATTTTAAAAGATGCCATATTTTTATAGCGTTTGCCAGACTCAATCAGCCAAATCCAAGCAAAGTCCACAGAACTCTGAATTCTTTGCTCAAAACTCCATTTTAAACATGGAAAAAGATGTCAGGGGACCACCATGTGGGGAGAGGGAACAGGCCAATCAGCCCGAAGCAGAGGATGTGGTTAGATCCAAGTTCAAATGTCCTATCAAAAAGTCACGTCCAAGACAACGAGGCAACCGTGAACCTGCAGGACTGACAGGGCTGGCAACACGGTAAGGGTGCGCACAGCTAACGCTGATGATCTGAGCTCGTGCCCGGGCCCACACGGTGGAAGAGAGACTTGGCTCCTGAAAGCTGTACCATGTCTCCCACATGCATGCTGACGTATGCAATCCCATCTTTAGATATGATTATAAGCGCGCACACACACACCACATAAAAAAGACTGAAGTTCTCACTGCTTTGTGACAGGATGAATCAGGAAGTGCCTCAACCATGCCATGGTGTCAGGGTTTTACCTCATGACACGGGAAAGAAATGCACTTGAGTCAAATGAAATCAGCTATGTATATCTGACTATAGACGACAGGTGCACGTGGGGCCTAAATGAGTCAACCAAATTCACGTCTGAAGCTTTTGGACGTGCATGCCTTCATCACCATGGCTGCTCTGAGCAGCGACCGTCAGTTCCTCAGCACTCAGTTCCTGGGAGTCTTTTAGAGGGTGGCTTTGTTTCTGCAGTCCCGGTATGTCTCTGTAACAGCTACCTAGCATGCAAGGTTCCATGAGGCTGGGGCTGGCCTCCACCTACTCAGCCACACAGCTGCTCGGACCTTCTCCTCTCAGGCTCAGAAGTTCTAAGTTCCAAGAGCAGCCCCCGTCTGCCTGTGTGCTAAAATCAGAAGACAAAGCAGACTCTGCACCACAGCCACAACTGCCAATATTCTGAAACTAACTTCCATGGCTCCTGGAAGCCACAGATGAGAGGGCGAAGAGAAGAAAAGCAGAATTCACCACAGGACCACTGTCTGGGCTGACAGGAAGACAGGAAAGCAGACTGAAAGAAAGAAGGGGGCTTTGACCATGAACTCTGGACAGCTCTGGGGCACAGCACATTGGCACCGTTGGGCCTTTCACTAGCACTGCTTCTAACATAATAACCACAGTGCTAAGATAAACTACTCAGAAAAGGGGCCTTTTAAATATGAGGGTAACCTGGCAATTCCACTTCAAAGTTTATCACAGGAAAATGACTAAGGAGGCAGGAAGGCAGCTCTGTAGAAAGCAACTGCTGAGCCAGCATAAAGATCAGAACCCAGCACCCAGGTAGAAGCCAAGCCTGGAAGTTGACACCTGGAAACACAGTGTGAGGCGTAGGCGAAGGCATCAGGATTCCGGGAACATGCTGGCCAGTCAGCTGACTAAGCCTGAAAACACTATGCTCTGTAAATTAATAAGGTGAACCCAATAAAGGCCACCCCGCCTTCTCCCAACAGGGCAGTGAGGGCAGACCACAGGTGTGAGCACAGATGTGGCTCTGTCAAAGCCACACTTGGAGAAGCAATGGGCTTACTAAGGTTACTTACAGGACCGTGAGTGAAGGGTTGCACAGGAGCATGGGTAATCCAAAGGTGCCTGCATCAGCAAAGCCCACCCAGCCTGAATGTGAACTTAGAAGAGCTGTCATCTTTGCATGATGCGCAGGCAGCTCAGCAGGCTGGAGGGTCTCCTCTCCTCAGCCATCCCTACCACTTATATAACCTTGGGAAGAGAGGAGCCTTTAAGTCTGGCCTGTTTCAGGGACTTCCTGAGACTAGTGAGTTGGGTAGCTCCTGAGTCACAGGCAGCCTGTCTTTAGCTTATAGCCAGGCACTTGCTATAAAACATCCCCACCGGTGCATGCACACGTGAGCACGCCAAGCACAAGTGTGCGTATAATAAATGCACTCGTGCACAAGAAAATAACCAGGCAGAGCTACACAAAGCCGGAGGAACGAGAGTAAGCCTGCAATTCGCAAAACTGCGATACAGCTGCTATTCTGTTTCAGCCATACACCGTGAGAAGCCCTTCCCCGGCTCCATTAGCAAAGGGGCTGCAGGGACCCTTTGACCTAGGACCTCACTGACCATGACAGCGCACCCCAACACTATCTCCTGACAGAGCAGCGTCAAGTTGCAGTAACACTCAGCCCTCCCCTCAGATTCAGGCTGGACAGGGCAGTCCAGTAGAGGGAAAACAGTCCCATAAGCAGGCAAAAGAGTCAGAGACTCTTGCCATGGCCCCGATGTTAGGAGTCCCACACGAAGACCAAGCTTCACAGCCATAGGGTGACCTCATCTGTACACGACGGCAGCATTTAAAGCCCAGGGAACTGAAGAGCAAATCTAGACACACAGGCTGCTTGCCAAAACACCACACTGGAGTGAAGACCGAGCGCTGTGCTCTGTATTCAGAGCTATCTTAATGTCACAGTCTAGGGCATCTGAAACCGTTAGGTTCAAATCACTCAGCAGACACAGCATTCACTCGTGGGCTCCTCCCAGCCGGGGGAGGGGCAGTGCACATCACTCTTCCGCAGGGCCAAGAACTCACACCTCAGAAGGGCTGGTACTGAGACCCACAGCCACGGTGCAAACTGGAAACTACTAGGAACCAGATGAAGAACATCAAGAGGCCAGAAGGAGGCGAAGTCAGAAACGGGAAGGTGACATGAGTCAGGGAGTATTTGACAAGGAGGGGATGGACACGGATCACAGGAAGTAAAAAGGGGGCCCCGGCCCCCAGGAATCCAAAGAGCTGGGTGCAAGGACACAGCGTAAGGAAGAGCAGCAGGAGGAAGTCTCGTTAAAGAAGGCGGCAGGAGCCACATGTCACAGAAAGTAGTTCTGGCATCTTCGAGAGAACATTGTGTGGGACAGACAGGGAAGGTCAAAAGGCCTTGCTGGATGAAACTCGAGGGTGACAGGTCAGGCAGCGCGCGCCGTGGAGGAAGGCTGGCTCCCGCAGTCCAGCAGCTTCCTACCTTCTCTTGGATCAGCCGCTGAAGATGAATCCCACAGGACAGCATGGCCGTGAACAGCGTCAGCATGTACTGCTGCACTCTGCAGATGGAGGAGGCCAGGGAGCCGATGACAGCATTGAGCCCCACCTTCTCGATGACGTTCTGAAAGATGGCAGGAGACTGGCGCGTGATTCTGCATAGGGCCTGCGGGGACAGGGGACAGACCCATTGCAACCTGGGGTACCCGGCACCCCCACACCACAGATGACTGAGTAATAATGAGATCAAGGAAAAGGCAGGTGAGTTATCAGAAACAAGAGGGCAGAGGGAGAGAGGGGAGGGGTTGGGGAGAAAGATGTTTCAAACAGTGAAAGCACTCCCAAGTTGGAAATCTCAGCAAAATAAAGTATTTCTTTTCTGAGGCTGAGCTTCACTTGAAGCTGCTCCTGTTGGTAAACAAGGAGAGCAGGCTGCGATGGTGTGAGGTACAAGGAGAGCAGGCTCCGATGGTGTGAGGTGGAAGGAGAGCAGGCTGC